TTTCTGTCAATAGATCCTCCTAAATGTTACACACTGGACCTTTGAAGTCAAAGTGAAAACAGATACCTATGAAAGTGATCCAAATTAATGACAAATATAAAATACAAAACACTTTTTTGCATTAGTATTCAAGTCCGTACTGTGGGAAGAACAAAATGATGGCGAGAAAGAAGAGGAGAAAAAAAGAAAAGTATCAGAGGGAATAAAGAACTGAAATCTCATAATAATTAAAGAAAAACATTTATCGTTTGAAGACACTCAATACTGTGTGCCAGTGATAATGAGGATTAAAACTACAGAGTCAAACAATGTTTGGTTGTATTAGCAGCCAGACAAGGTCATTGCTAAGATTCACGAGAGATATAAAAATGCTAAAAGCAAAGAATAAATCTAACTAGAAGAGATCAAGGTGACAAGAATAAGGTGGAAACTGCAGTTTGAACAAAGTTGACCTGTCAAATGGGACAATTTGAAGTCAGCCCATCTTCCCTGCCACCTTGGTGACAGTTATGCCTTTACATGAAATATGACATCTTGTGAGGATGATGCCGTTAGCTGCTGTACATTTTCCTTCTTCCAGGCATAAATGGATTTGACCTTGCACTCTCCTTTTTATGAAAAGCAAATCAGTGCCTGCCACAAGGTTACAAGGTTGCAGGAAGTGGTACCAACATTAACATGCCTCGCACTCGTTGGTATGTCTGTGAATTTGCCAAACACAACAAGTACAATAGAACAATCTGATCCTGTGGGCTTCTTTAAAAATGCATCCACACCTTTCCATCTTCCATCTTCCCTGCAGCCTCTCTCCCCTGTAACCACCCCCCCTCCTTCCCCTGTCTCTCGACCACATTCCATCTTTCTAATCCCCTTGACTGAAGAGCAGAAGACCCAGTGGCTCCAGGGCGCAAAGCAGGATGAGAAGTAAATTAGAGAGAGGAGAGAGGGCTCGAGATGAGAGAAGGAAGGAAAAGGAAGAAAGTGCCTCTCAAGCTGCAAACACAAGGAGGAGAACATAGGGAGGAATGAGAGCAGCTAAGTGCAAAGACAGCTTGGTGAATAAAAATGAACAAAAACCTTTACTTAAAAATCTATTTTTTTATTTAGACAAAATAATTAAGAACCATAAAGAAAAAAAACACTTCAGGGTAGAGACTTTAACAGGCTGCTTTTGACAAGCAAACAGCCAAAGCAGACGGCAAACCAGACGGCAAACCAGACATCGCCTCGTGTCTTAAGAAGCATTTTGGAAATCTTGAATGACGCAAAACCCTGACGTCTGTTTACATCCTCACCTGTCAAGCCAGTCCATCTGCTGTAATATCAATTGCCCAACGTGAATAAAACCAAAACACAACCCATATCAAACTTTCACAACACACAGAAATCCATCAATTTAACACTTATGACATTTAATAAAATAAAGGAAAAAAACAAACCCAGTATTCATTTTCATTTCTAGAATTGAGTCGTTCTGTGTTTTCGTTTTTTTTTTTTTTGCATTTTGTGGCTGCAGCCTGATATAACTGGCACTTTTCACCTGACTCTGGGCTGGTCTCATAATGGTCTGCCCGCTTACACAAGTGTGAGTCTTATCAGTGCCGCTGGCAGTCAGGACAGGGTGATAACTCATTCCAGACGGAGCCTGAGGTAGCCGAGGTGAGCGGCAGCAAACTGCAGCACAGGAACTGAGAAATTCAAACAAGTCCTGAATCAGAGAGAAGTGGGTGCTTTGTTCATGAAGCCAAAGTGACTGAGCGGCACACTGATGATGAAGATGTTACGTTCTGGCCATGCAAGAGCTAACAACCTTCAAATTAAAAGCTAATAATAAATCTAAACCTAATGCTAACATTAACGTCAACACACGCCATTTAAATACTTTTTTTCCACAGCTTGGCCAAAAAGGGGAGAACACCTGTGATGAAAACATCCGAGGACTGAAGACATTTCATGTATAGCAAGTATAAAACCATATAAAAGCATTAATGAACTATAATTGGGTTATTGCTTTTATGTAGGTGAAGTGGTGAATCTGAAAAAGTCAAAATGTGTGTACACAGCTTTCTCCATTGCTTCTTGGTCAGGATGTGACGCGCGAGTGTCTGCGCACATCCTTGTTTGTACATACAGTGCACTGGTTAGGGGACGACAGTGTAGGGTTGATACGGCAGCATCTTCTGTCGTTCATTGATTGCGTAAATCCATGCGGGTTTGACAAAGTTCAGATTGCTGTTCTCCATCAGCGCCTGTAATGGAAGTGAGAGTGAAAGCGAGAGGCACAGAGGGTCATAAAGTGTTCTTGCATTACAGATGGACAGATAGGATGAGGTATAAAGCCTTTGAAAAACTGAAAGCTCGGATTGTATAACTAAAACTGCTAATTCAGATGCTAACAAGGCCCTCAAATGGCTGAAAACCAATTCTGACCCACTATTTCAAACAAATTCAAAAGCCTCTTGGCCCCAACGCCGCTGCATTTTCACTGGGAAGGCTAAAACACTGAGGTTCCCAATTTGTTTCATTGCTTTCATTTGATTATACCATGCAAAGTGATAAGTGCTCACTGCTCAAAAGAAAATGGCTAAGAAGTCTCTGTGCTGGTAGCGTTTGGTGTCACATGTTCAAAGGATGTTTCTTTTCCTCTCTGGCTTTTTGAAAAGAGATTTTTCAGCTGTGCACTTTGTATAATTAAGCATCAACTTTCCTGAAAAAATTAGCTTCCCAAAGTTGTCTTGTCTGTGGGGGTGAAACGATCACATTTACATATACACAGATGTTTTTAAGCTTGTGTTAGACATCATCATTTGACTGCCAAAGAAATGTAACACAGAAGGGAGAGAGACAAGAGGACTCAACTCACGTCTTCAAAGGAGTCATGCCACCCTTCACTGGTCACCACAAACTGCACCTTCTCTGTCATGTAGTCCTCAATCGCACTAGAGCAAAGACAGTATTGTTATTTTATACAAACATTTAACCGCAGCTAAATCCTTTTTCACCGCAAATTCCCATGACCAGTTCAAGTTGTAATGGGTTACTTCTAGAAGTCTTTCTCACCCGTTAAAAGCGACGATGTATCGAAGCAGTAGGCGCCTCTCGTTGTTTGGGAATTTACCGTAGAGGAAAAAGTGTTTTCCCGTCAAGAAGTCTGAAAGAAATGAGAAAATGGGAGGAGAAAGGAGCAGTTGATGACTACACAATATCTAGGAGTAATTATAGGTGTTCTTTTGATAAAGGAGACAGTGCGAAGCACACTTTGACATTTGTGTGTGGCGTTCCTGAAAGGCAAAAAGCCGTCCAATTACTTTCTGTCAGTGTTGGCAATGTCCGACGAGGAAGGTAGGACGTCTGTTCCTGTGATAGCAACAGGAACAGACACAAGAGGCAGGAGGACACAGAGATAAGGACAAAGAGAGACATACCTGGTAGGTCAGGGATGGGATGATCTTGCTCAGCCTCAGCGTCTGTGTTTTCATCTGTCGACCCCCCGTATGGATCCTCCTCTTTCACCATCTTCCTTTCTGATGCCGCTTTCTTCTGTCTGCTCTCGTTCTCCACCCTATTGCAAGGACAGAAAAAGGACTCGTTATAACATGGTTCTATGGCTGTTCAAAAGAAGAAACCCCACCTGCTTGTTGCCTTGTTCTCTGTCGAAGAAAGAGTTAAAGCCAAATTGAACGCACTTTTGTAAGTCACTCTATATGGGCCATCAGCTAAAAGCCTAACATGAAAGAAAACTATTACAGCATGTACTCTTGTTGCTGTTACTATACAGTCGTGGCTTAATAGAACCAGGTAAGTACAAAAGGAGCTCTTCTGAAGATAATCATGCGTTCAAGTTCCTAAGTTGTATATTCCACCATGAATACACCCATAACTACCAGTCCCTTTGCAATTTAGTGACTTTTTTTTTAAAGCAGTGATCCTCTGGTATTCAATTATATTTGTTCCCTCAGGGGGCAGTGGAATGAGTTGTACACACAACTCTTATTTCACATATTATCCCTTCATAATGTTGTTTTGGCCAACAGTTCGGCCATTAGTATTCATTTAGGGTAACTTCAAGTAAAAGCACAAGAAAGACTTTTGTGAGTAAGTGGTTGCTTGGTACCGCAATTCAGTGATGAGGGCTTTCTCAGAGATTCCCTTACGAGGAAAAACAAAGCAAGCTCACATGGCTTAACTTAACTTGCGGTGCAATTATTAATCAAAAGTCAACTCAAGTCAAAGTGGAATTACTGACTTTAGACAGAATAGTATGGTTATTTTACAACTGGAGCAACATCAGAGCAGAGATGGAGTCAACAACCATTAAGGACAAGCAAGAACAAACTCAGTAGTCCACATCGATTTTACAATCTGCATCATTGACATTATTTGTTTTGTTTACCTCTGCAGCTCGTCCTCCGTGTCCACTGCAGATTCATCATCACCACCTGTGAAATGAAGCGTTCATTTGTCAGTATGGTTCAATTAACATAAAAAGGTCTGATTTATCTCAATGCCTCGGAGAAAATGATGAACGTCTAAAACGTTTCATGTATTTATAGTTTACCACAATATACCAGTTCACTGACAACACAAGGTTGTTGCCATATCGTAGTACCTAAAATGCCATCACTCCACTCTGGCCCTCATGTTGAAACTACTTAACTATGATGATCAAATGGACATGGGTACATTTCAAATTTCTGGTCATTTTGGGAAAAGTTAAATCTTGCTATCGTATATATGCAGTTCAAAAGGGTGCATCCTTTAACACTTTGTATTACCATACAATCTTGTGCTGGGGTGGGGAGAGAGATAGGAGAAGCTCTAATTAAATTGCCGTCTCCTTGTATGTGTTTGGTGGTCAGTATTTGTTGTGTCTCTTTACTGATGCATCCCGGCACTTTACTTCTGGCCTCGCATTAACATAGAAATGAGAATCATGCACAAGTCCCTTCACAGTGATTACGTCTTCCCTCCATTCTTGCTTCTCCCTCAAACAGCGTCTATGGTCTTGTCCTTTTCACGCTGGCGTTGTCACCTCATCCATTTCCAAGTGCTTCATAAAGGTGATCCCTTTTGTCTAGTCCCTGGGCTCTCACGTCGCCCCCTTGCCCCTCTCAATTCATCCAGTCCTCTTCAGCTTCAGTGCTATCCTCCCTCCCTCTTTACTTATTTGAGTATGAATCACTTCCCATGAGTCACAGCCAATTACAATTCAGCTCTTGCATCTTTACAATTCAGCTAAGTAAGTAAATAAATACATTTTTATATTTTGGTGTGTTGTTTCCTCCTCTGACTGAGAAGGGGTTATTTCCTGTCCCTCCTATTTATTCATTTTCATCAGTGTTTATTTGTGGTAGGTGACTCTGAGGCAGTGTTGATGTAAAGTGTTATCTGTTTCAACTTCAGTACATAGAGAGAACAAATTATAAAGCCTGATTTCCAGACACAAAAACAATAAGATTAATTTATGGAATAGATGACTGTGTTAAGTTGCTCTTACTTGTTAATCTGTTGCCCAAATTGATCATTTAATTATAAACACTAACAGGTGCATGCCAACATGCTCACAATGGCAATGTTAGGACACTTATGTTAATGTTTATATTGGCATGTTAGCATGCTAACATTTGCCATTTAGCACTAAGCACAAAGTGTATATGAGGGTATCCAAGTATTTGGTCACAAACCAAAGAATCAATCAAAGTTAATTTTGACACCTCTGGTGGACAAGAGTAAAAGTGAGGATATCATCAAGTCTTTATTCTGTGAGGACATGCATGTCCATTCAGAATGCCAATCTATCCAATAGCTGCGGAGACACATAACACTGAACCAAAAAAAACCTCAAGAAAAAGTAAACATTATCTAACTCGTTTCATGGTCTGAACAGCACAAAATGTTATAGAAATGTATCCAATAACTGTAGAGAATGAATTAGTGAAGATATCAAACATAAAACAAATGCCTATTGGTGTGGTGAGTAACGCAAGACTAAATTATTGTTATAGGTTCTATTATTCGTATACAGGCTTTTATTTGAGAGTTTATGGTACATCATCTGAACTGTTACCTTCAAGTTCATTTTATGTGAGTTCAAAAAGGCACTCCAATAAATAAGCTGGTCTACATGACTTAGAAAAGGCTGTTTTTTTTAACCTTCAAAACACAGGAGAATTGAATTTTCTTTTTTTGTTTGTAGCTTTCCACTTGCACTTTATCTAAACTCTAAGTGCCCCTTTGGTCTTGGCTGTCATTCTTCCATTTCCTCTATTTTAATGGGCCAACCACCCACTTCTCATACTATCATTTCACCTTTTCCGCCTGTCAAGTAAAAGTCAATTGAAAAACACAATTTAAGACTTTGTAAGGCTTTTGTCATCGTGTAGCCACAATAATGTGCTTTCAGTTTTATCCCAACAACTGTACAGAAAGTACAGAAAGAAAGAGAAGTGTGAAGTCACTGAAGTGGTAATGCTGATGTGGACTGAATCTTAAATGAAACATCAGGTAAAGTTCAGTTACATTTTTTCACAGTGGGACTTCCTATTAAAGTAGTTTGATGCAAACCTGGTTCATCCACATCAGTGGAGCCTGCATACTCATCATCTTCCTTCCTCTTTTCCGGTGTCTTTTTCGGGGTCACTTGTCTCTCCTGTTTCTGTGGAGTCAGCATGGACAGAGCGTTAAAACATACTCTTACAGACAGGAAAAGATTCTTCATTACATCATTATTTATAAGCTCACTTAAAAAAAAGTTACCTTCGTGTTCATTTCCTCTTCACTCTCGTCGTCCACTTCCATTTCGCTTTCCGAGCTCGACTCTGCTCCATCCATCAAATACCTGGAGGAAGACAAAAAACGTGGGTAGAAAATGTGTCAGGATGATTAAAGGCTAGAGGGAAAAGAACGCCTGCACAATATATCTCACTCCCAATCAACTTCAGTTGTACAATGTTTCAAACAGCAGTGGACCTTTGCCAGAAAATAGTGGAACCAAAGCAAGGTTCAAAGTGGAGGTAATATTTTTCACCAGACATTCCCCCATCTTGGTGTTAAAACATCACTCCAGCTGTATATTGCATGCTACAAGACTAAATCTAAGACTAAGGCTATGAGTCTAATCTACTGCACAGGGAGGGGGAAAAAAACACAAAAACATGTCTATTAACCTAACTCCTGAACAACCCAGTCATAAATTAGGCTCTGTCCCAGTACCAACCTGACACATTTAACTTGTTTAGCAGTCACAGTGGCTCAGAGTGGCTCATCAGATGCCATCAGCAAATTGAAACCACGTAGTCAAACTGAATGCTGTATTGCTACTGCCCCTACTACCTAAAGCTCTTGTTGAAAAGTGCAACAGTGCTGGTACAAGAGGATGGCTAAATTGTCAATTGCCTTTTTACAAGGCAAAGTTGAGAGACCACTGCATTTCAAACACGCCATCAGGAGGAGGGTTGGGGAACAATCCTCTAAAAAGGCGTCAGTCTGGTTCAAACACAATGCTTTGTCAGATTGCCTAACAGTAACCGCAAGAAGTTTGTTTAAAACCAGTGATTTTGAGGAATTCTGAGCAGATTATTTCCTGTTTAGGGAACTTTTTATACAATTCTCTGTCTGTATTTTTTTTTATGTTTAACTATCATACAATCTTCATAGGCTTCTTCTGTGTTTTCTTGTCTGGAACTGGGAACATATTCTATTAGACACCGACTTTACATCTAGTTTTCTTTACAGAAGTGAACCAAATGCTGAGATATAGCCCTACTGTGTGTACTTGGGAAACCAAAGGTAACAAAAAACGAGGACAAATGCTGGTGTGACCTTCAAGACCAAACACTTGACTGACATTTAATTTGCTCGTGGTCTGTTGGACAGCAGACTTCATCGCTGGTGTCAGTAAAATCCAGTGTCATATTGACCATTTTGGAGGTCAAGGTAAGACACGTTGCTTATGTGACATCAAGTTCTACTTCATCTAAATATATGCACATGGTGAAACTAGACTACTCATATGAGTGACAGGATACGTCTGTCAAGGATACGCAATCCTATAAAGTCGCTAACTTTCCCCAAAATGTAATTAAAATCTATTTAAATATCTGCAAACATAGCCACGTTGACAGATAATTAAACAATCAAATAAAACATGCGTAATGTTCCTTTGCAAAGGGTAAGGGAGTGTGGGGAGAAATAAAAAGCCAAATGTCCCAATAAATTCCACAGAGAACACATAACAGAAGTGATAATAATACAGGAAATGGATGGGGCATGCAGGAAAACACTTAACTCACACGTGCAGAGAAAGGCTATAATAAGGACATTTCTCCCCACCCTCTCCATATATTCCTCAGGCCACTATAAATCCACCTGGACATTATCAGCTCCGAAGTGTGAGGTGCAGAGAGTGGAAATACCAGTATTAAGGTGTAATAATTTTCGCTCATGCTATAGCGAGACATATCACTGACCTATGCTTACTTGTTTCATAAAACCCAGTGCCCAGGAAATTGGAAAATGAAAAAGGGACACTGCGGGCGATAAGTGTCGAGACAATTGTCTGAGAGGGAAAAGCTAAGTTATACTAGAGCTGAAACCCTTTTTGATAATTCATTAATCCAGAGCAGCTATTTGCGTGTATACTGTAAATGGCTACCAATCGAATTGTCTTTTCTTGCATGCTACAATTAGTTTCCCTTTATTTTTGGATAAAAACCAGTAAAGATATCTGCTTTTACTTTGTTATGTGATGTTTTTATGCTGGGTGGTAAGGCAGTTCAAAGCCTGAGGTGAAATGTTCAAATTGCTTGTTTTGTTTCACCAAAGGTTCAAAGCCTAGAGGCATTCAATAATGATGCATTGTAAAGCAAACAAATGCAGCAAATCCTCATTTGGGAAAGCTAAACTCAATCATAACCTTTTTCTCCATTTTTTTTTTTTCCGATTATCAACTAATTGTTTCAGCACTAGTCTCTTTATCTCAAGTCTAATTTATTTCAAGTTACAAGTTTCTATAAATCAGTTGAAGATCTAACAGAAAGCAGAAACAAAAACAATACATTTTGTTGGTTCTTGAACTTTACACCAACTAACTAAATAAATAAAAATATGTTTGTTTAAATACTTGGTTATTATTATTATTATTATTATTATTATTATTATCTAGAGCTGATAAATCATTGTAAATTTTCAACTGTTGGTCTGGACAAACTTTTTCACTATTTTCTGACATTTTACAGAGCAAACGAGAAAATAATCAGCACTTCACTACTCAATGAAGAAAACCATCATTAGTTGCAGCACACTACAATTTTCTTTTTACACCTTTGGGTTTGTACACTTCAGGATGCAGTGAATATTTTCAGACCGGAACTTTTAGGTGTTTGTCTGTGAATTAGTTTAACGTGCCGTAGATTAATCACAGTGTTTGTGCTGATATTCTGGCTCCAGCATGCAAACTATTTTCCAATTCCTATGTGGATGTTGCAGCAGAGCCTCCGTTTTAATGAGAAATTTGTTTACTTATTCAGATCTATTGCGATGGGACGCTGTAGAGATGCTTGAGTATTTTCTGCTCTCTTCTCCCTTTGTCTATCTCTGGATCCTCACTGATTGGATAATGACTATGGAGAAAGCATTTCTGGGCTGCTTAGCTGATGTAACAATCTCTCTAATATACACTACACACTACGTATGCCTGTCAGGAGCTGAATGAAGCTGTGCATTTGCCTCCAGATGCTCAGGACAAAGTGTCTGTGTGCATGATGGAGCAACAGTTTGAGAGTGTGAGTGTGTGTATTTGTTTGGGCACTTGTCAGCATCAAAGTAAGTGGTCCCTTTAATTACCCATAGCAGATGCAGCTTTTAAATAAAGGATACATCATCAAAGCTGCACACTCCACGTGCTGCACAATAGTGGTGCTGGGCAGGGGAATGGATTATTCTGACAACAAGAGAGGGGGGAGCAGAGGGGTGGACGACGGGGGTGAGGGATCTTTGGCACCATCAGAAATTGACAGAAATGCGAGCATGAGGGAGAATGACGACACAGGCTGAAGCCAACTTCTCATTTCAGTGCACTTTTTGAGAATCTTAAAGTAAGGATCAGATTTCAGAAAACCGCAGCGTTGTGTGCCATCGCCCTTTGGCAGTATTTATTTAAAACGCTTTCCACATTACTTTTCTCACAGTCTCAGCTCATATACAAACTCTGGCTGTCCAGAATAATCCAATCAAAATATAACTCTGACCTTTTTCAATTCTGGCTTTGAAAACATGAGCAAAAACATTTATTTCTGTGCACCTTATCACCAGATTTATCCAGCTATAACTGGATGACTCTTTGAAATGACATATGAAGATTACTAATTATATCCTAAAGAAGGCACACTAATAACAGGTTTGTGACTGTTCCTGTTCTGTACTTATCAACTCAATTGAGGACTATTATATGAGACAAAGACCTCCAGAAAAAACAACACATTGAATGAGGTGGAATCAGCTATCAAAATATTTGCCGATTAATTTTCTTGTTGACTAATCAACCAATTGTTTCAGCTCTAAACACAAATGTTTCATGCAACAAAGTGATGAGAGATATTCATGAGATTAATACATACCAAAACATGAGCAGGCAATTTAAAAAAAATAACATTTCTGTAAAAGGCAATCTGAGTGGATTGGACCTAGAAATATTTCTGAAACCCTTCCTACACAGCTAAACTCTGAATGGAATGCTGTCACATTTCTAATTTAACTATGACTTCTTATGAATAAGAAAATAAAATCAGTTCTAGTGCAGGGCACAAAGAGAAAAAAAAGCTTAGAAAATCAGTCAGACTATTCAGCTCCAAAGTTCATTAAAATACTTTACTTATGGCATAGCAAAAGTAGGCATTAAAAAAGACAGCAGCAGGCACATTTGAACTATGAATTGGCACTGTTTGGCTGTATAAAAATAGGCAGCGGATGTGGGATATATAATAAATCATAAGGTTTCTACAGGATTTCACTAGTTGGAAGAGGGTGAGCCCTCCTTCCGAACTGCTGATCATCATTAATCATCCATTCATACACAGTCATTCAACTACAAGATACGTTCTCAAATCCATCATTGATGCCGCCTGTGAGGGAACTGTGAGCACTCTTCGTCCTTGATGTCAATACTCTCCAAATCACCACGGTAAGGATAAAAATACGACTTCAAAGCTCCCTTTCACGCACCGAATTCTGAATATTGTGTGACGCAGCATTATGGAACATTTCTGCAATGGAGACTTATGTCAGAAAAACTAAGGGCAAATAGTTTTATCAGACAGATGAAGGCAGTAGTGATAGCATAGAATTTTGATGCTACAATTACAGTGGCACACAGTCTCAAAATATCCATCAAACTTAACTCAAATAGTTCTATTACCTATGTTCTTCTATTCTATTTCTGGCTGTGTCATTACCATCAGTAGGTACCAGATGTGCTCTACACTTCAATACATTATGATTGGCTGGACTGCCCGATATGTACATCCTGTCGAATTGACAGGCCTGACCTGTGAATGTGTTACTCTCAGTAGAGATCAGCAGGAAGCAAGATGACTCACTCTTTACTCCAATCAGCTCCAGAAAATACAGTCCAGAATTTTATTGTAGAGGCTTTTTTTGTTTATTTGTCTTCTGGAGGTGTATGATATGTACTCATGGTGGTACTGTTGGGTCTCTGTAAATGTTAAAAGGAGTTCGGTCTAGGCCTGCTCTATTTGAAAAGTGTCCTGAGATATCTTCTGTTATGAATTGGCGCTATACAAATAAAATTGAATTGAAATTGAATTAATTTTCTGTACA